TTTTGTATGTTTTAACCTTTTTTCTGGCAATTAAACCTGCAGATTACTTTCGCTTTTGTTGGCAGGAGATAGGGATGTAATGTAGCAAAAGCATCCATTAACACGTAATTGAATCAGTTCGTGTAGGCTGCTACCGCTGAAAAGACGCCGCTAAGGGAGTACGAACATGGTTACCTTTTTTTTATTTGAATAATATTGTATTCAGCTATATAGCTTTGACAATTTAATATCCATTTGTTATTACATTGAAGAATGATACCAGTTAATGCCCTAAATAAACAGGACTTGTCCCTCACTGTCTATAAGGAAATAGTTCAAAATTTTAAGGATTAATTGGTGTCACAGTTCGACGTATAGATGCTGGGGCGATCAAATATACGAAGGTTATACCACAATATGCGTGTCCTAACTCAACTATTTATACACTTATTAGGCTATCTAGAATATTCCTTCCTGTCTGATACTAGCCTCTGTTATGTTTCCCTGATACCAGTTCACAGTCTCGATGCCAGTTGCTAGAATCCTCTAGTCATGTTCAGAATAAACTAGAGTGAAGTTTCGCCTTTCACAGAATGGTTGAGGCACGTGATTAACATCACGTGATACAGGACAATTATCGGCTCACTAGCTGTTACAATTGGATCATAAAGAGTTAGTCTCTTCATATTGATTCTAGAAGTCCATGGTCATAGACTCAGATAGGACTATAATAAAATCTTATCTAATCTAACGCCCTAAATCACTTCTCTATACACCTTTATATCCGTTATTTATGTGCCTATTTAATCTCCATTGTATGCGGACATACACTTGGACGTTTCAAAAATTCTAGAAGGGGTTCCTTCCCTCTACTGATTCTCAATAAAATTTGGAATGAAAGAGGCTAGATTTCAGCAAATGCTGATTCCCCTTGCTTGCAAAATCTAGTACAATAAAGTAGTAAATGTTTTGCGGTCTGCTTTTTCGTGGTAGACTATGTGCGAGATAAGGGCCTACTGTCACATGGTAGTCTTGAACTAGCAGAGAAACTGGTTCTCGCAGATCGAACAACAAATAAGAGATCCTTAGAAAGCTGCAAATATATTTACCGATGAATGATTAAATATTTATTCGCGACGGCCACGAGCCTGATACTCATAGAGCATAACCTGGATAGGGTTAGTACTTCCCCGACCATTATATACGACGATAACTCAGTTTGACATTTGGACTACTCATGTAGTGGGTGCGTTCGCTGATACCACTCGAGACCTTGGTACTAGGGACTTTCACCCTTGCCTCAACCGTTAATATCCACCGAAGGGAAAACATGAAAACCTTTGGCTTCTCTAACATGCCTTTGCCATCTTGTATATAGCCGACGCGCGAGATATGGCCGCACAGTCCTCCCTTTCCCGAGTGAGGTAGGTATCCAGGCTACCCAGACTGTAATTCGGGAAAATGACGACCAGGGGGCGGACCAAAACAGCTTCCATCGTTGCCTATGTTTAAAGTATCGGTTGCACTATCCGAAATTGTTGCTTCTGCACCCACAGACAATCTTAAGTCGAAAACACTCGAAAAATGTGCGTCCCAGCATGCCCATTTGTGACCTTCTCACTCGTTCGTCCTACGTCCCAGCTGCCTGTCCTCCCTCAAGGTGTGAAGCCCCATTAGAGCAACGGTCCTCCATAGACCAAGACTCGAGATTTGCAGTTTATGACTTAATTTCCTCCTCGCGGGTATACATAGCATCGTAATTTTGTAATAGGAGGTGGCCGGTTTTTGGTGAGGCAAATACCCGATTGCAATTGGGGTAACGCCATTATCGGTATTTGAGGCGAGGTGGCGTGGTAAGATTGAGGTGGAGGACTCGCTTGTGAATGATAGATCAAACATTTGTCTAGAAGTTGTCGATTATTGATATGCATGAGGTTGCTTTCGACTTCGATTTGGATGCGATTCTTCTTGGCTATCCTAGATATGCAGTAATTACTGAGCGATTACACCCGCACAACTGGAAGGTAAAGGATTCGTCTTTGCTAGCAAAGGCATGTTAGAATAGCCAAAGATTTTTCCTGTTTTCCCTTTGGTGGATATTAACGGTTGAAGGAAGGGTGAAAGTCCCTAGTACCAAGGTCTCGAGTGGTATCAGTGAATGCACCCACTACATGAGTAGTCCAAATGTCAAACTGAGTTATCGTCGTATGTAATGGTCGGGGAAGTACTAACCTTATCCAGGTTATGCTCTATGAGTATCAGGCTCGTGGCCGTCGCGAATAAATATTTATTCATTCACAGACATGATCTTAGCTGTAAACACCGGTCTTTGAGCCTTAGGGGATAGCGGGCATAACCTGGGACTTCAAAGTAGATACAAACATAACCAGTGTTATACATATATTTATACATTTTGTATGACTCTTTTGACACTAGAGACACTCATACTCTGGTTAGGCACAATTTTCCGTCTTGGTATTATCTTCGGTTTTATTAGTTCTTTTGAATTTGATTTCATTTAACCCGACTTGGCGTGCTGTGGGTCTATGCAGCCGGCTAAAAACTTATGAATATATTTGCATGGGAGAAAACCTATCCAGCTGTCTGATTTCCTTCTTGAAGTTTGCGACTTATTCTTCTGGAAGCACGATTACACTATAGTGCCTTGTTTGTGTACCAATCAAGTTCCCTGTATGGACGGCAACCTTGTGCTGGTCCTGTCTCATCCTCTAAGCAGTGTCTTGTCTTGTTCATTTACGTGCTAGGTAAAGTGATTCCCGTTGCACTCCTACTGGAGCTTGAGCACGGGTGGGGCCGAACCGGATCAGGTTAACTACCATTAAGTACCTCTACCTCGTCCCACCTGAATGACCGGACCACCTCAGACTTCACCCATGTGTTGAATCATGTCAAGCCCAACCGTCCAGAGAACCCCCTTTTGGCGCGCCGAAGCGCAAATTCCTCCTCAGCCTCGGCCATCACGCGCGCGAGGCCTTGACACCTCCGCGATCTGTAATTTTTCCCTTCGATTCATTTCCAGCTTTGGCTCACCTTAGCATCTCCTCATCTCATCCAGGGGTCGTTTTCTTCACTAGAGGCCTCATCCAGTCGCCCACCAAGGCCTCCTCAGTTTTTATTCCCTTTTTAGTTCCCTCATACAACCCCTAAGCAGTGTTTCGACTGTAATTGTAAAGTGGAATTGTTCTATCCAACCATGGGTAAGAATCTATTGCGTATTTCTTTTAATGTCGCCAGGATTGTCTATTATTGCTTCAAAGGAGCGTTTTCGGGCTTTTCTCCAAATCCCTCCTCTACCGATTGACCACTTAGGACAGGACATGATCATGTGCTTGGGATTTTGTGACTGGTAGCCACACGGACAGCATGGACAGAAGACTCCTGGAACTCTTCTCCGTAAATATGAATTAAGCCAGATATGCTCGCTTCGAATTTATGTCGCTAGGCTACTTTGGGCCCTTGTCAGGTATGAGAGAGAGGTATGTTTATTGTACTACTTGAGTCTTAGATTATCTCGCACATTGAGCTCCCCTCTGGCCCAGGCCACACCCTGTACAGTGCTCCTAACCTCTTTTGTTACTTGTAACATAACTAATATATTGCCCGTGATGAATAGCATTTCAGCTGAGTATATATCCACGGAATTCCTCCTTGTCACGTTTTCACAGAGGGAAAATGGGGATTACTGGAAGCCTATTCTCTGTTGTCCAGCTTATTCCTTCTTGTTCCCTCGTTTAGTCGACTCTTTTCTTGTATCTGAAAGCTGCCGGAACGTCTTTCTCTACGCGCTCTCATGTTAGCGACGGGGCCATCACATGATTATCTTGAATAACAGGGCTTCCTTACTAATCATGATGTCTCCAAATCAGGCTCGTGCAGTTGAGCTGCTGCCTGGTAAGTACATGGACAAGGAGATTTATCTCTTCTCATTAACACCAATTCAATCCATGCATTTCTATCGCGATTCAACAATCCTCCTCATCAGATCCAATCAGGGCTCGTGGCAAATACTTCCATTGCAAGTTCTGTGACTGGTAGACTCTTCTTGGCTGTTGATGCAGTGTAAGTGTGCGCATTTAATTATTTTTACATGAGGACTTGCATGACCCATGCGTCTGTTGTTCTCCCTGAAATTCTAATTCGTTCCAAGCGATGAATATAGTACAGGAAAGAGGCGGGAATCCTTACTCTTTTAATATTTTGCAGCTGCTGCATTCTCTTTTTGAAAAGAGTTAGGATCGCCCGATATAACGGAGGCTCCTCCTCTCGATAACTCCGAACCCAATCTGTGATACAGGTCACAATAATAGATCGAACTATCGCCGAGCTGCGTTGGCTGAAACAGATTGCAGGTGTTGATTACACAGTTTCAGCTGCACAACGGATATCTGAAAATAAATGGTGAAAGTATATCTTTATGCAAGTGATTTGCCTTAAAACTTGTGCTGTCAACATCTCGGATTCGGCCGAACTGCCGTAGATTACCGACCTCTGTAGTAAGCAAAAATTTGGACTTTTGTAATGCTCAGGACTGGGGTTGCTTTACCGAACATTCCCTGCGCCTCCAACCCTGGAAGCCTCGGGACATTAGAGCTGAATCGGCAAACGCCTGTGTCAGATGCCACAAGGGCTCGGCTCAAGACGGAGACGCGTACTCTCCTAATTCCTTACAAATTAATGTATTTTTAGCAGTCAAATTTTGCTCAATCCAGCTATGCATTTCAATTATTGAGATACTGCTCTGCAAGGGCCCGCAGACAAAAGCTGGCCCAGTACAGGTGTGCAGCCCACACTTCCCCTGCCCCCAGCTCCTGAACTTTTTTTTTAGTTCCGGGTCCATAGAGACGGAAAATTGCGACTGATAGTGTGGAAAACTGTCATGCCCTCATGACGCTTTCGGAAAGAGCACACCATCAGAGATAATTTAAAGGATCTTTCTGGCTCAAAATCCCTCTTAAATATTAGATTCACACATCTATTGATTGTTACATCTGTCGCCCGTGATGTTGATTCCAGGCTATCGCACCATGAGCTGTGACTCTAATTCGACCGAGCCTATTGATGAGAGGATATACGAGACAACGGATAGTTCTATCGACAACTTTTCAAGGCCATCAAATACAACACCAGAACTTGCTCATCACTTGGAAAACCACTGTTCCATTCTCGCTTTGGCTGTTGGAGATCATCATGTCTATGCAGGTACCCAAGACGGAGAGATCGTAGTTTGGTCTCTAGCATCCTACGAGATTGTAAAACGGATAAAAGCACACACACGATCTGTCCTATGTCTATTCCTCTCCGAAGATGGAAAGCTTCTCTTTTCTAGTGCCGGAGACGCCATAGTGAACGCTTGGTGTCCTACGTCTCTCAAACGACTGCATCATATCTACAGCACCTATGATGTTGGTGACATCTTCAGTGTCTCACATTCAGCTCAGTTTGAAATGGTATATTTGGGCTCTCAGAATACGAGTATTCAATGGTGTAGTCTGAAAGATTTCGACTCAAGGATTCCTCCCAATCCCGATAATCATCCCGACAGGCGTAACCATAGATTTTTTGATTCTGTTGCTGGTGGTGGTTCATCAACACCCCGCTCGCCAAGCACTAAATGTTTAGCAGAAAACAACACATTACTTGAGATTAATAAATCACACATGGTACAATATGCCCATTTTGGCTACGTCTACTGCATGCTAATGGCCCGGGGCGTCTCGCAACTTGTTGAAACCAACGAAGACATTTTAATATCTGGTGGAGGCGATGGCACTATTAAACTTTGGCAGCTCAGCCATGACCAAGACAAAGGGATCAAAGAAATTGGTTGTCTCGGTGAAGACGACGCCGAATCGGTTCTATCTATGGCTTTAAATGGGTCCTTCCTATACAGTAGTAAGCTCAAAGGTATCATTGAACTCTGGGACTTAGACACGAAACAAAAAGTACGCGTGATAAAAGCACATGGCGGCGATATAACAACGCTACAAATGGGATGGGGATTCTTATTTAGTGCTGGGTCTAACGGATATGCAAGAGTGAGTCGATTTCGTAATTGGAGATCAATGTAGTGCACTAACACTCGAGTTCACAGCAATATACCACTATTCAATTAAATCAACGAGATGAATCCATACTAAGTCCCTATTACCAATGCGTTAGCCAGTGGCAGGCGCACAATGGTAGAATAATGGCATCCGCCATGACCATTTATCAGGGCCAGAAAATATACATAACTGGTGCTAGTGACAATTCTATTTCTTTTTGGAACATATCTGGCTGCGATCCAACTGAAAAACAGTTGGAAGCCTCAACTGAGAATCAACTGATAAAGTCTCTTCAGGAATTTGTATCTTTTAAGACAATATCTTCAAGGGCCATTCACGCTGAAGATTGTAGGCGTGGCGCTACTTTCCTGCGAAAGCTTTTTGAGAAACATGGTGCACAAACACACATGCTCAATAACCAAAATAAATGGAACCCTTTGATATACGCCAAGTTTAAGGGAAACCCAAGTACTTCTGCAAACCGTAAGAGGATCTTGTTTTATGGCCATTGTAAGATATTTTCTCAATCTGTAACTACTTGCCTGCTGACACGTAAGTAAGACGATGTCGTTCCGGCTGATGAAAAGCATCAAAACTGGATGATCAATCCATTTGAGATGAAAGGTATAAATGGCTACTTATACGGACGCGGAGTCTCTGATAATAAGGGACCGATCATGGCTGCGATTTATGGCGTACTAGACCTAGTACAGGAAAAGAAACTTGAGTCAGACATCACCTTTCTCATTGAGGGAGAAGAAGAATCTGGATCTCGAGGATTTGAGTTTGCAGTACGAAAAAATAAGGAATTAATAGGACACATCGACTATGTCCTCCTTGCTAACAGCTACTGGATCAATGATGAAGTTCCATGTTTGACTTATGGTTTACGCGGGGTTATTCATGCGACTATTACCGTTCAAAGTAAGAATCCGGATGTCCACAGTGGTGTAGACGGCAGTCATATGCTGGACGAGTCTCTATTTGACCTTACGTCAATTCTCGCAAAGCTAAAAGGGCCAAAAAATCGAATTCTGATCCCTGGATTCTACGACAGTATATTGCCACTTACGGCTGCTGAAGAGCGGTTATATGACGACATTACGGAGACTCTGGTCCAGCTCAATCCTGAAATCGGATCTCGCGATGCTCTCAAAGCTTCATTGATGGCTAGGTGGCGAGAGCCCAACCTAACCATCCATCGATATTACGTTTCTGGACCAGAAGGATCATTAATATCATCTCAAGCCAACGCATCTATTTCTCTTCGTCTTGTCCCGAACCAAGAAGTAGAAGATATTATTAAATCCCTCACATCATTTCTCTCTGATACCTTTGCTCAGCTTCACTCTCAAAATGAACTCGCAGTAAATATTGATAATTATGCAGATGCATGGCTTGGTGACCCCAAAAATACAATATTTCAAACATTAGAGTCTGCAATCTTGGATGTTTGGAGTCACGGGGAAGAGAGGAATGGCGTAAAGATTCCTGAACCAAGTCCAGGGTTTCCCATGACCTCTGGAAGCCAAGAAAAGTGTTCAGCTATCAATCTTGAACAAGTCAATTCTCAAATATCATCCAGTGTTGGCCCCAACTCTGAGATTCCTACATTACCAGAGAAAATAACACTTCACGAGCCAAGATTTAAGCTACCTAATGATGTCGAGAAGCTAAACAAGAAGTGTCACAAGCTATTGTATATACGGGAAGGAGGTTCCATCCCCTGTACACGATTTTTGGAGAAAGAATTTAATGCACCTGCAGCTCATCTACCCTGCGGTCAGGCTAGCGACTCGGCTCATCTAAATAACGAACGTTTACGGATCAGTAATCTTTACAAAAGTCGGGAGATTTTTAAACGAGTGTTCTGGGAGTTGCCACGTAAATAGCTCATGCAGGTTGGACTAAACAATGCTCATGAAGCTAATTATCGGCGTAGTTTGCAAATTAAGCGGGGAGGTTGCATGTGAAAATGGATTTGTGGATTTTTGATTGCGTGCTTTTTCCCTTTAATCCTCAAAACTCAAAAACGCATTGATTTGCTGTCTATTTTATTTCGGAAAAAAAGATACCCCTGACGAACGAAAAACTGCTTTGCCTTTGTTTATAATGGACTGCTTAAGATAATTAAGAGTCGAGGTCTCCTGTTGTACTAGAAAACCGCACCTTAAGTTGAAGGAGACTTCGCTAGCAAATCTCTCAGAATTTTAAGTAGGCTTTTCAATCAAACCATTTTTAACGTAAAAGAATACTATAGAATAGTAGGTGACTCTTCTCCAAAAAATTGCACAAATTTTCTTTACTGCCACACTAGTGATGGGTAGCTGTGAAGCAAAAATCTTTGGATATATGCAGTAATGGTTTTAATTCCAATTGGTGACAGTTGAGAGCCACTATCTATCCGCGGGACATTGACTTGGCCTGCGTTGAAATTCTTCACTAGTGAGCGTTTACGTAAGTGTGCCATGATGCGTGAGCAAATCAGATTATTTCCGACCATATAGAAAATCATTTGATATATGGAGATGTCGCTTTCACTAAAGGTAAGCATCGGTGTCTACAAGTCGGGAGCTCCATGGCTAGAGCAATGGGCTCTGAGCCTACGACGAATAGCTAGAGTGTGAGACCTTTGTAGCAACTCTCCAAGTGCACAAAAGATGCACAACCCAGCCTTTACCCTTACGGATGCTAAATGGGCAACGAGTGAGATTGATGAACTATCCCTTAGAAAAGTGTGTGGGCAGGAGGGGCAGATCATTTGATGGCATCAGGTGGGCGTCGGTCCTGCGCCTACCGCCACCCTCCGCCTTGCCGCGAATGGCACGGTATATGTAGACAACAAAGCATCTCCCTCCGCATCGCTCGCTTCCGAGAACTCACAACCAGGTGGACGGGAAGACATTGTAGACACTCTGCCGGACCAGGCATTTTCAGGGTATGATGGAATCCAGCACATATGGGAATACCTGGCAATGAAGCAAGCGACGCTCTGGCTAGACAGGCATGCCAAGCTTTTTGACCCCTTCCATCTCTATCAATCTCCAGAGCGAAGCGAGTTATTACCCCACGATATTTAGCCTCTGTAGATAGATACTGGGCTCAGAACCCCCTAAGAGGTACTTCCGGCTGTGAATTAGTGCCAGCACTGGCGGTTCCCCAAACCACAGAGGCCTCAGTCGCTACGCTCTTGGTCATTTCCTCGCAGCTCGTTGAGGTCACGGGTACTTTGCATACAACCACCGGTGCTTTGGCCACTCGGACGCCCTTCTAATCTGCGCTGGCGGCAGGAAAAGTCACCTGATCCAATTTCCTTTTGCCGACTAGCTCGAAGCCTAGATCGCCTCGGCGGCGCAACTAAACATCCAACACTAGGAGAAACGACCCCTGGATGAGATGAGGGGATGCCGAGATGAGCCAAAGCTGCGAATGAATCGAAGGGAAAGTTAGAGATGGCGAAGGTGTCAAGGGCTCTCGCGCATGATGGCCGAGGCTGAGGAGGAATTTGCGCTTCGGCGCGCCAAAAGGGGGTTCTCTGGACGGTTGGGCTTGACATGATTCAACACATGGGTGAAGTCTGAGGTGGTCCGGTCATTCAGGTGGGACGAGGTAGATGTAATTAATGGTAGTTAACCTGATCCGGCTCGGCCCCACCCGTGCTTAAGCTCCAGTAGGAGTGCAACGGGAATCACTTTACCTAGCACGTAAATGAACAAAACAAAACGAAACAACACCAGGAGATTCATGAATGCTGGGCTCTCTTGAGGCGACAATCGTACATCGTGAATGGTTTCCTGATACCAGCTTCTGCAAATGAATCCAACTTCACCACTAAAATACACGCTCTTCGACCAACACCCGACGGGCTTTTTTAGCCAGTGTTTGGTGTAGGTGGCTGACCATTCTTCCTGCAAACATACATGTATACTTTTTGTACCTTTCTCAAATCAATGGTCTCAGTGGAAGAGCACCTTTGACAACCTTTGATACTTAAGGGCGCACGGCAGCTTGGCCTGAGCCCAAGGATTACATGCGAGGCCTGGTAAAAGGCGCTGGCACGACGGCCAGTTTGTTTAGCCCGAGCCGGCCAAGACAGGAGCTTTGGGCCGTGTGTGGGCTGGCGCGACGTCAGATTAAAAAAAAAGCACAATTCGAGGAATTTGAGTACTAATGATTTCCTTATTTTCTCGTTCCCTCCATCGCACACTAATCCTTGAATTTTGATGAAGCTTCAGGCAATTTCAAAATGTCACCTGTTCGAAAGAGGCGCCTCATGGCCATGTTGGACAGCACGAGAGTCCGAACGTGGTCTCTGCGAACACCGGGCCTTGTCCAGTCTCCGAGATGCATTGGGATAGGCGAGGTCAGTTGAAATTTTCGAGGAAATTCCTCAGTGAGCTTGCATCTCCCACGGGACTGGAGGCTCGTCTAACGCCCCTCCGACGGCGCCAGAGGTATCAGAGAAAGCTGTAATAATCGCTGCTTCATGCTGCCATCAAAGCAGACTGTCCCGCAGAGCTTTGACCGATTCTCGAGGTCGTCGAGTGACGCGCCGGTCGAACAGCGGCAAGCTTGGCACCCTGCTGCACCGCTTTCAATGATGTCGAAACATCTCTCATTTGATCGGCCAAAGGATCAAGTTGTTGGAATAAAATAACAATTGTTATACTAATAAAGACTTAACAAAATTACAATACACACATCCAGTCATATATACGCCATTCATAGTCCACGAGTGATCCAGCTCTGTAGAGCCAATACTAATATCTTCTACTCGTGTCCTTTACTCGTGTCCTGAACGGAGCGAGAGATCTCACTTTCCGCCTCCTCGCCTCCTGTTTAATATCCGAAGGCCACCATCACGTGACCTGACATTCCTCAACACAACATGTCATGCAGACTTCCTGCCCAACCGGTGACCACTAATAGTCAGGTAAATATGTGACCCATATATTTGATTTGATTTCATTTAGCCCGTTCAGGTACCCTATGGGCCCATGTAGGAATATCTAGCTATAGTATTTACACAGGAGGAAACCATAATCGGTAAAAACCCCCCACAACTGTCTGTCTCGTGTCTATTTGTTTTCAGAGGTTTCCTACAGGAAGTGCGTTTACACTGTACGTCCAGTGTGAATACAGTCCTATCCTTTTTCCGATCGCTCAATCCTCTCGCTCACTGCTGTCTCAACTTCTTCTGCAAGCCGGAACTGTTCAAGCCAGCCGTTTGTAAGTATCCACTCTGTAATCCTTTTCATCTCTTCCGGGCTGTTTATCATAGCTTCGAAAGACTTATCTTTTGCCCGTTGCAGCACCTCTCCTCTTCCCTTAGCCCACTGAGGACAAGCCATGACCATATGTTTCACGTTTTGTGACGGATATCCACACTGGCACCTTGGATTTGCCACTCCAGGGACCTTTCTTCTATAAAGATAAGAGTTGAGGCCGATATGCTCACTTCTTATTTGTATTGAAATACTACTTTGGGCCCTGCTCAGGTTTCGGTGGATGTTAGAGGGTGTGTTTCTGTAGGTGATTCTTTTTCTACCTGTTTTCTTGTTGGTGCTTATACTTGCTGCTGTCCAACGTTCTGGGTCTGCTGACGCCTGATGAGAGGATAGTCGTTCTTCCTTAAAAGTATTCCATGCGGTTTCCCAGTCTTGGAACGCTCCTATCTTGCCCGCTTCTTTTTGTCTACGCCTCACTTTTTCGTTCCCGTGACCCATATATTATTTACCACGTAATAATAATGTATATGTCAAGTCTCAACACAAATAAACAATTTGTAGACTCTATCAGGAATTACATATACGCCGTCATCGCGTAAAATATGGCTTCTGGCCCAGCCACTACGCCACACGTGCTTCCTCCTTGCCCGACGAGTCCTCTCCCAAGAGCTCCCGACGCCAGGAGCCCAATAATACCCGCCGTCCCAGCCCAGCCATCGAAGGCAAACTAGGCTACGATGGTCTAAAATGGACTGCCGCATGGCGCGGTCCCATCATCAAGAAGAGCTGCGGCAGAACTATCAGCTCCAATTCTAAATAAAGACGCCGCAAAAGCAGAAGTCGACATGTGAATAATTCTAGGCCCAAACAATAAATATACGTGGCGTAAATTCACGAGCGCACGACTTCGTAGGAGATTGAAAGACGAATGGAATTGCGATGACCAAGACACAACCTCGCCACCAAGAGTGAGAAGCTGCTTTGCTATTGTGAGAGACGATGAAATAGCGCCACACGGCCTGCCAGACGCCTCTTCAAAATTGGCAGAGTTTAATGCCAAACTAAAACTATCTTAGACCCGCTCGCCTGCAGGATCCCAATCATGCCCGAGGGACGACTTCACTGAACGATCCAATGCCAGTCGTTGAAACATAAGTCAATAACCACATCTTTCAAGTCGTTGACGAGACGCCAGTCCAAGTGCAACCATATGGGACGTGCCTTCCCGGTACGACCTATCGCAGCTAGCATACCCTTTTTCCTCGTAATTCCGCCCCTCGTACGGGCTTTCGTGTCTTCGACGTGCTGGTTAGAAATTTCATCTGTCCATAACTCTGAGCTGGATGATGGCCATCAAGACGAAGAATATCATGACCTCTCATTTCAGATAAAAGGGGCGAAGAGACATTAGTTGGAAGATAAGACCAATATAGAAAGGGGTGATTAGCCCAGAGTAGATATGGGCATTGTGAATGTAGTCGGAAGCATCATCGGTGTCAAGAGGAGTCAAGTGCGCGATGTATATATATATATATATATATATACGTGTCATTCCTATCCGTAGTTACCAAACCGCGCACTGCTATCTATACCCTCAATCTCTGCTATCCATCGCAATCCTAAGTATTTATATGAGTTACCATCATACGGTATGTTTGTAGGGGTCGATATCAAGTTAGAAATGTTAAAAGTGCTACAAATTTCAAGCCTCGTCAACAAATTCAAACCTATTTATGCTGTCTCGGCTGCCACGCTACTCGCGGATGCTCCCGCGCCCCAGCTTGCTAGTACTATGGTGGCTCACACCTTTCAGATAATCGTGACTACTTAGCTCGATCGATCCTATCCTACCCGCTGACAAGGGAATAATATGTCACGATCTGATAGGTCAGCCAACGAAAGTTTGTTGTAGTGGCTCATGCAAAGAGTGCAGCGAAGAATGCTGAGGTAGGAGGTTAACCTGCCTCGAAAAGTGTGATGATATCCTGGGGACTTGGCCCAGAGACCTTGAATGCCGAAGAACAGTCTTGAGGCGCGAGAAGCGTCCGGAAGAAGTTAGTAATGGCTTAGAAAATACTTCGAAGATGGACCGACAATGGCGGATGAAACCCGCCAATTCAGCTGCTACACTCAGCGGAGATTGAAAAGTTTGGTCATCTGGAAAGAGTGACGGATAAGAGAATGCGTGGGAAGTGTAATGCTTTGAACCAACTCGGTGGAATCTTCTGTTTTTTCTCCTGTTGCTTTGGTTTTCAGTTTTAATCTACCACATTTTAGGTGGCGATTCACGCGCTCAGAATAAGTTGGATCTGTAAGAAGTGATCACCGCCATTGCCACCGATCCTGTGTCCAAAGAGGACTTGGGGCACTAGTTTCACGCCTTTACCTCCCAAAAAACCCCCCTGGCCCTAGGAAATTTACTCGTCCGGCGTTAAAATGCACTCACTTTCAATTTCTTAGCGGCTTGCAAAGAGGAGTGATACTGTTTGTACACACATTGGATGCGGTAGCCGTACCTATTGTTGTATAAACTTCTGGTTGTTCTCGTACTGCGGTGTAGCGGGTCTCACCATGGTGTATGATATGCGGCTGGTCATCAATGTGTATTGCATGAAAGCGAGACTAGTCGAAATCTACTCCATAGATGTTCAAGTTCAGTGTTCTCACCATTATAAATTATACAGTTTATTCATATGTCGGCATTCTTCAAACATGTAATGCCGTCAAGGTCGTATTTGAAGCATTGACTCGGGCTCCCTTCTTTGAGCTGGGAGACGCTTCTTTGCGAGGAGATCAACATTCTCATTTTGTTGCTGACTGGCTTTTTGTCCCGATTGGCGCGTTTTGGTTTGTTTACAAATGACATATGTTTATTCAATGTATCATTTATTTCTTGGGTGCAAGGTGATGGTGTTGAGGGACACTCAGGGGAGATTTCTGATTAATAGGTTCCATGTGGCACAAAGTAGCAGACGAGAATCGAGGAGCAACATAGCTCGTGTATGATTTGTAGCTATCTGCAAGTGTGTACTCAAACAAATACATGTGGGGTTATTACTGCTGGAAAGATGTCGTGAAGGAGGCATGGAAGCTGGTATACCACTCGAGGTATAGATACTCCCGGCCCGTAGTTAAAAAAGGCTTACGTGTCCTGGTTTACTCAGACTCAATCGGACAACAGACTCAAAACTATTCTTTTAGCTGTTAGGTTGGATAGATATGGTCACCAAAAGTGATTAAATCAAACAGTAACGTTTGTACAGAAGTTAAGGGCTTAAAGCACAAGAAAATATGATGGGAAGACGTTTTTGATGTAAAATTTCCCTGAACTATGGAACCACGTACCTCAGCGCATCATAAAGTATGAGCCACTGCGTACCACACAAACCAGAGAAGTTTATGATTTATCTTGCCTTCACTTCATATTTACCAGATATTTCAATTTCCCCGGCAGAACGCATATTTTAATCTCAAGAAACTACGAGGCGACTGTGACCCACACTATCTAACAGCACAACTAAGGAGCCCGCCATGCTCGTGAAGGTTAGTCTATCGTGTACGACATTAGTGTTCTTACTGTTCCAAGAACTCTACTCATAAGACTACGGCTACCTCTAAGTTTGGCAGAAGTCTAAATTCGCCCTCAGGGCAGTTTGTGGTAATTAAATAACTGAAATAGAAAAGGTATTCGCCGCTATGGTACTTCATTCTAGTTAAGGCTGCTTTACTAGATGGAGTATCTCCGGTGCTTCGTCCTAGTGACTATCACTAGAGGGTACCAGATATTTGTTTAAAGGGGGCTTTAGTCTGCAATTTTCAGAGTACTCACTTTCTTGCCTTCCAATCGGCATGTTATGCATAATTTCAACCTCTTATATTCTGGAGTGTAGAACAGAAACTGTATTAAGAGAACCAATAATTTTGAGCGAAAATTCTCATTCAAAGTCGTAAATATGTGGGTCAAAAGTAGACACACCACGGGAAGATATTTAGAGTCATTATTCTTTTATACGCTGGCTCATCTTACTTTATCGATGAGTTTGTGTGATAGAGATTAAATCTCGGTCGACTTATAACTTATTATTAATCCGAACCCAAGTTATGGATCCCGATCATAAGCATGTGCCGTGACGGTACTCGTGGTTCTTTTATACGGTACAGGTATCAACATGCTTATCTCCGATTACAGGATAAGTAGAACAGAATTGAGATGAGCCATTGGATGATCGACATTTGGGAGTATTAGCTGAATGTTGACTCCCAGACAGCTTGATCGTCTAGATATCTTTAGCCCGGAGATACTCCAGGGTAAATCTACACATGAATTGACTAAACCATAAGTTCCAAGCTTGGTTTATAATGTTTTCGGTATATTGTTGTGAAAACTCCAAATATTAAAAAATGTGTTTATATGGCTAGAAAAGTCAGAGTTACCCTAATTTATTTAGCCTTTCAAAGAGTAGTTTGTATTCTTCTTCGGCTATAGTGCCTAAACCTAAAAGCATACTGCGGGAGATTAGGAATTAATTGATGTAAAGAAAATCTGTTATGTGATTGTCTTCCGCCATGTAATCAAGAATTGATATTTTAACTACAGCTTTTTCTCCGATAATATCTGTTAATTTCTTGCTTGACGTGGAAATATCGAATTTTTAGTATTACTCTCTACCTCTAAAGAGTAGTATGATGTAATAATATATTATTCAGTACCTAGAATGCGTTGTCATCGTTAGGCAACCGGCTTTTAGAAATATCTATTTACTAGACTTGTAGATTCAAGTATCATGGCTGTTTTTGATAAACTTCCAAAGCTCTAAAGTTGAGCTGAGCTTGATTCCGTGTGATGTGCCGATTTCAATTCTTAACTTCTTTCCGAAGGGACCTCATTGAAACTCTTGGGCTCTGGTGAATTGTTAGAAGGCAGGATTAATTGTTAATCAAGCCATGACAATCGAAATCCAAGTAAGAGATGTGAATTAATCAAACCAATAAGGTAAATTTTACAAATCACATTAACATATACAAGGCCTCAACTGCTTTTTCGACTGCAGCGATATGCCATGGTCTAATGTCCTTATTAGCGTCCACGACTCTCCTAACCCTCGCTAGAGTTCCTAGACACCGATAATACCCAAGAATTTCTTTAAGAAGATTTTCATGGAATGTACGTGGGTTACCAGTTACTTCGCTGAATATTATATTGACTTCCATGGGGACTGGAGGATCTTCTGGATTGGTGCCTCCACGTTTAAAAAGATAGCCACTTACAAGGGCCAAATTAAGTTCCTCAAGGGAATTAGAGTTATTGACTCTATGCGATAAGACCGCCCCCCAAGTCTGATCGGTCAAATCGATCAGTCGCGCATTGAGATCTGGCTCGCTGGCTGCGTCAACTATTGTAGTAGTGTTTTCAGGGATAACACAAGAAGACTGTGATTCTTGAATTGAAAAGATTGGAGCGCTCTTTTTTAGACCCATCGCTTCATTTGCCAGTAAGGAGATACAAGAAGGAATAATTTCTAGAGAAACGTTGGTCTTAACAGTAACAAGTGTGAGACTAATTTTGGCATTTGTTTCGGCTGAAGCCAGACCAGTCCAGAATTCAGTTTCTGATAGATCCATAATTCCAACTCTGGCTATAATGAGTCGCCATTGAATCTTTTGATCGGAAATAAAGTCAAGGGTTGTTTCCCATATTTCGTTAGCTACCTCGGCAAAAGTTGTTGTGATCATTTTATTTTTTCTACCTAGGCAATAAGAAGCAGTCATCTGCTGAATTCCCAGATTATCTATCCAGGCTGCTGTTATCCAACGATTATCGATGCTTTTAGCATATGCAATGTGTAGGCAGCTATTTTCATGAAGTAATGAAGGGGATGGGTTAGAAGTTAATTTGAAATCAATAGATTTGAGGAGTGGAGGCTCCAGTGTAATGGCCGGCATTGTTGAGGACTCAAAGTTGGTACAACGATCGTAAACCTCTAGTGCTAGCCCAAAATATTCTGATGGGCGGGGTACTGCGAGTGATGTGGGGGTTGCAATGAAATTAAGAGGAATAAGTTGTAAAACAATTTCGTTCACTGGAGCAACTTTGCTTTCAATTAATAATTTTCGATACATACTAAAAAGATGATGAAAAGCAGCGCAAATTTGAACGAGCAGATCACCGTCATTAGGAAGGTAAACAAAATAAACGACTAAATTTATGTTTTGGATCGTTAAACGCGAGAGAGTTCTGCTCAAATTTTCAGTCATCTCCTTAAGCGCTGATAGACGAGAGTAGTTTGGTTGTGATGTTTTGATGGTGAAAGGAATCAACCCATTTTCGATATCTGGGCTAATAATTCTATCGTGCGAGCCAAATCTAGCAGATTCGTAAAATCCTCTCATTCGATCGAGTAGAGTGTTGGAACTTGCTGCTAAACCATCAAAATTTGGATGAACACAAACGGCTCTTACGTTTTTAATACCAGAAAATGGACCTAGGCCAAATATTTCCCAGAATCCAATGGCAGAAGGGAGAATTGAAATACCAGCATCAGCTCGACGAACTTCAAGGTGAGGTGAGTCTATCGGAAATAGATCGTTGGATCGTACATTTGTTCCTGGGAACCCTTTTTGGTTTGTGTTTGGTCGAGGGGGTAGGCGAAGTACCTGATTTGAGATAGGTATCCCTTGAACATCCAGAAAGTCGCGTAAAGTGCAAATAGTAGCATTGCAGAAAAATTTCTGAGCAGCAGCAGTAATACGGTGTAATTTTTTCTTTACAGAAATTCGATTTTGAAAATCTGGAAAGAAATCATGCTTAGGAACTCCGGGAAGTTGGAATCTACTCGACAATGCTTGATCTGCCAGTATTTGCGTCGTCTCAATAAGCTCAATGTCTGTGAGTTCATCAGAGCGAGTGGTAGGTTCTGGTAGGATGAAGTGGGATTCAGGCGGCCATCCTACTTGATATGGTTCAAAAAGAAATATAGTGGGGTCGTTGATAGATTGAGGCGAGACTGCTTGCGCATATCCTCGAATTATATCTTCTGATGGTGAGACTATATTGCTTTCAGCTTCTTCCCACTTTCTCTTTTTAGATGATCCACAAAAGTTTTCAGGCTCGGTATCTGAAAGAGGTCCATCTCCCTCCGGAGATATAATACAGTGGTCTAGATCTGTTGAGTAATCTTTTGTTTCATGTGATACTGATCCCTTTGTGATTTCTTTATAAAATTTGACCCAAGGATTTTGATTTGCTTCTATATGTTTGTGTTCAACTTTTGTATTTTTTTTCTTGGCGAGCACGTCTAATCTTGGTAGGCTTGATGGTTCTAAAGTATATGGTGCGCGTACTTCTGGAATAATTTTGTATCGCCCCGATGGTCCGTACTTTTTGTTTATGGATAAAATTGACGGTTCAAAATTAATTCTATCGAAGACACTGAGCCTTCTCGAACTTTCAGATCTTATTGGTAATTGTTCTGTCTTCAGCTTGTTGAATATTATCTCCTTGCTAAAAGGTGATCTTGCGTTGACACACTGTAAACTTGCTAAAGAAGGTGGTGAAGACTGCGATATCTTACTTGCCGCAGTTACCAGAAGATTTGATGGTTTTTCTTGAAGATTGTCTGACTTATCTGAGTTAAAATTTTCCTGCGCTTCGTCATACATTACAGCTTGGGCAGTATTTTTATCCGTAATGGTTAGATCATGATCTTCTGCAACAGCTGTTTCTGAGATTTGAGTCTCATCCATTTCTTTAATTGTTGCTTGAAAGTTAGAAATAGGGATCTGTTTATTTGTGTGCTCAATTTCTATATCGGGCCCATCGAAAAAATTAAAATCCGCATCAGTGATATCCGTTCCAAACATATCACCACCATGATCTGTGAAAATAATGTCATTTTCAGAAAAATTTTCATTGAAATTTACACTTAGGTCCTGGTCTTTTTTGCTAGCTGAAACCCAAGTTTCTGAGCTAAAATGAGTATCATTGTTGATATTTGGATCCACATCATCAGGTTCCATAGGTGCGCAGCTATTAGAGTTTTCGGGTGTATGTTCGGTTTCTTCGAGGGAGGGTGTGATTACAATCGGAGGAAGAAGTGCATTTGGCGGAGTAGGATAAATATTACCTGTGGAACATTCTTTTCTCACTGCTTCCATTGATTTTTTATGGTATCGACTTGTTGGAAGTTCGGGGTTGGTTCGCTCCTTTGATGAAACCTCTGCTGCATGTCTCTCTTTTTGTCTCTGGTTTACTGTACTAACTCTGTCTTGAGAACTATACCATTCTTCGGCAAATTTAATAGGATCGTAACATTGGGCAGCGTCCAAGCTCTTATTTAAGTTAATAGATTTATCTTGAGTGAGATTTCGAAAGCATAGTATTAATGGCCACGGCACAGCACCTGATTCGACAAGAATTGGGATCTTTTCGAGTTCTATGTTGGCATAGGGAGAATGGCCCGTTAATATTTGAATTAATACCCAGTCCCCCGATTCAATTGCTATCGAATCCATGCCTCTATACTTTAACCACTCGAGAAATCTAACCTGCCATAATTTAATGATATTTTTAGAGATTGCATCAAGAATATGTCTTTTTCCATCCAGTACCAATCCAAAAGTCTCCACATTATCACAAGCAAGAGTGCCATAATACTTTGCAGAATTTCCACTGGGTGCAAGCCAGAGATGATCCCCTAGTTGTAACTGAACTGGCTCGTTTGAATCTTTTAACAGCTTTTTTATTCCACGTAACCTTTGAGCAACATTAAAATGGGCTTTTAACATCATAGTTCCCATAGAGGTTAGACTGATATCCAGAGTAGTAAATTCAACCATGTTAGAGTTTTCAAGACAGGGAATAGGCTGACGGATTGTTGATATCAGCGTCCTGGAGTTGAATGGGATGAATCCGCCATCCCGGCAGAGAAAGTACATCATGGACTCAAGTACAGCAGATATAAAATACTGATGGATTTCTTCTCGTGAAACAGTATCTCTGTTCACTTCAGTTCCTTTGGCCTCGGGAATCCTTGATAAGATCTTACGTGGCGAGTGGATTGACAGGCTCGCCAACGAAGTCCGACTACTGCTGACCTGTAAGTTTTTACTAGGACTCTCTAGAGAGGCAGAAGGTAGGCTATTGATTGGAGAGTTGATACTTGATATGGATGCGTTCATCCCTAGGGTCGCAGGTTCATATGTGCCAGATTCCTTGTGTAGGTGACCAAATTCTCCTATATCACTCAAGCTTTGTGTACTGGACAAAGTTGAAGAATCAGAATGCTGAAGTTTGCAGTCTTGGGTATTTGGACAACTGAGGAATACCCATATCTGGACTCGGACATGGTCATAATACACGAGTTTGCCCATTTTTCTCCATACAAGCTCTAAGTCTTGGAGCTTTGTCTTAAGAATGCTTGATACTGGAAATGAAGGCACAAAGTACTCGTAATTAATTGAGGTTAAATTGCTCTAGGGAAATTCGGTGAGTTTAGGTCATATTGAGCGGATTTGAAATTCTCACATGGGATATTACGTTAGTGAGATATTCTCCAGGCTCCATCGTATGATTTCATAAAACATTAAATAAACTGCAGACGTCCGAAACAGGCGCCTGGAAAGTGCGAATTCGTCAAGATAATGCTGTAATAGTATACTGGAAGGTCAAGCTTTGATAAGCTTTTTTTGAGTTCTGATGCCTGTAGGGATTTAAATCAAGAAACTTAGGGTGGTACCAGTTTATCGAACAATCCATTTCCACAATCTCATTAGTGTAGGGATGTGATATAAAATCAATGTCTAAATAGTAAGACGTGTTGTTCGCTTGCGTTGCAATGCGCCTCCAATGTTACAAGGCTGTGAACTAGGCACGGATAAAGTTACGTGCCTAGGCCCGAGTTCCGAAAAATTTTGGACAATCATGCAATTCTAACACATCGGCTTCGCGCCGTTAATGAAAATTCTTTCCGCTATTCGCACCCAGAAACGGAATGAAGCTCACTAACTCTAATGACGTATTAGTATATACAGTTTCAGGAGCATCAACAGCACGACCTCTGCCTGATTGGCTAGCTAGAAAACGGAAACGCAGTTTGAAAAATGATCCCGAGTATAGCAATCGGGTCGAACTACTTCAAGACTTCGAATTTGAAGAAGCAAGCACCTGTATTCGGGTAAGCGAAGATGGCGAATGGGTGATGAGTACTGGAACGTATAAACCTCAGATTCATACTCACTGTCTTCCCCAATTATCACTTTCCTTTGCACGTCATACCACCTCTCTCAACCAATCTTTTATTCTACTCTCATCAGACTATTCCAAGTCCATTCACTTGCAAACAAACCGAACGATTGAGTTTCACACACCAGGAGGCTGTCATTACCAGACCCGACTACCAAGATACGGCCGCGATCTTCAGTATGCTCGGCATTCAGCTGAAGCACTAGTTGCAGCTGTTGGCGTCAATTCAGAAGGAAATGGAGAAGTCTATCGCCTCAACCTTGAAATTGGAAGGTATATGAAGCCTTATCAAATAGATGTTGGTGAAAACGACTGTACTGTGACCGGAGGGGACTCTTTACAAGGTGGTATCAATACTGGAAGTGTAAATGCAATTGCAGTTGCGGAGGAAAGCCATAACCTATTGGCGTTTGGCACATCAATTGGCTCAGTTGAGTTTTGGGACCCTAGATCCAGAAACAAAGTTGGGACTCTATCTCGGCAAGATGGAGAGATTACAGCTCTAAACTTCGACAGGTCAGGACTGTCCCTTTTAAGCGGTTCTTCCGAGGGGATCACTCAAATCTACGATTTGCGAAGATCAGTGCCTATTCTTCACAAAGACCAAGGGTTTGGTTATCCAATAAAGACCTTGATGCATATTACAACAGCATCTGGTGAGAAAAAGGTCCTTTCGGCAGACAAACGTATAATTAAACTATGGGACGAGCTAGATGGCAATCCCTGGACGTCAGTTGAGCCAGCAGTAGACATCAATTCCGTGGCCTGGTGTAAAAATAGTGGTATCATTTTGACAGCGAACGAAGGTAAACAACAGCACGCATTTTTTATTCCTCAACTAGGCCCCGCTCCAAAATGGTGTTCATTTTTAGATAACATGGTTGAAGAGATGGCCGAGGAAGCTCCTGCCGAAACATATGACAATTACAAATTCTTGACCGTAGCAGACCTGAAAAAACTCAATCTCAACCATCTTATAGGCACTACGAATTTACTCCGCCCATATATGCATGGATACTTTGTCTCTTCAAGGCTCTACGAAGAGGCGCGGCTGATCGCTAACCCTTACATGTGGGAAGAGGAAAAAGCCAAGAAAATTAAAGACAAGATCGAAAAAGAAAGGGCTAGCCGAATTAGAGGTAAGAAAGTTAAAGTCAATCAAAAATTGGTGGACAAATTGTACAAGCGACAAGAAAGAAGAGAAAAGGTTGATAAAGAAATGGGAATACTTGGTGACAACCGTTTTGGAAAACTCTTTGAGGACGAAGACTTTCTTGTTGATGAGAAGAGTAGAGAGTTTCAAGCTCTTAATCCTAGCACTAAAGTTTCCGACGAAAATTACGCTAAAGCTCCCTTTGAGGAAGACACCGGCGATGATACTGACGAGTTTGTTGAGAAGACTACGGCTAAACCTGAACCTATAATGCGCATATCATCTTCATCTTACAAAAAATCAGGACATCAACGACTTGATAAACCCATAGGATCCAGAATTGAACGTAGTAGTCGTGTTAATAAGCTCAAAGGAAATATTGTCGGGGAGCGTCAAGTAACATTTGCTCCAACTTCAGGGATAACCAAGAAAAATGGTCGCAATGACGAAGAGGCTAAGCCAAAAGGCAGACGTGATGATAGCAGGCGAAGTGCATCCGGAAACACGTTCAGAAAACTTTAAATTCTTACTCATTTAACATCATACTCTAGCCTATGTTACGATCGCGGTAAGACAATATAAATTTCTACCCATATATTAATGTAGCCAGGAAAAAAAATATATGAAGAATCAAGGTTCCTGCTATCATGATCTACTAATTTTATTTACACTGGGATTTCAGACAGAAGTCAACACTAGTTATTGTTATCTTTCTTACCGAAGTCGTAGACAGGAAAGTACAGTTGAATGATAACATGGATGATGCAGATATTCTGACATCACGGGTTTGTAAATGTTTCTAGTAAAGTAGATAATCTATTAGGTCTTACATAGTTAGTCATCAACAAGCCTTTCAGTTCAAGGAAAACCCCAACGTAGGTCTCTCTAGGAATCGTGTATACAAAGATGACGGTTAAAGTACAAAATTAATGAGTCCAATGCAATAATCCTCATTTTACTACCAGATTTTGAAACTAAGTGTTGATTCCACTCAGCCTACATTTTGGAACCTCAGGCCACTAGGTTCATAAGACAATATTAGCTGACTAATCTTGTGACTAATTAGGATAGCCCTGAGGATCCAAGATTAGTAGACCTCTAGATTAGTACGAGGCTTTGGTAATTTATTTTGATTTAATTTTTTGCATCAAATTCTAATTGCGTATGCAGCTATCTAGCTATGACACAATATCAAACAGAAATATGAAAGATGACTCAATTCAAAAGAAGATCACTCATGCCTCAGATTTCATTTGCAAGTACCACTGCGAAGTTATGGTGGATTTTTATTCACCCCAAGTCAACCCTCATCCGTGAATACCCACTCAGGGGAACGACTCAAAAACCCTGTGTTGTCCAGACATACCTCCGTCATCCACTTACTTTTCTCTGCGCGAAATGTGATCTGAGATGTCTCCTTTCCAAGTTAAGTAGGTGTCCGGGCTACTCAGACTATACCGGAGAACATCACCAGGAGGTGGACCACCTCATCTTCCATCGTCAGGTGTTAATATCGGCGTGGGCGTGTATTTGGTGGTCAACTGAGGCCAGAGAAAGTCGACGAGAGGTGTGGTCATTGGGATGAGGATGTACTTAGCCGTTCTTGTAGACTTGATAAGACTTAGATTAGAGTCAAACTCTCTGGGAGTGAAAATTTGACGTGGTTGAGAAATTTGAATGGTTGCCTTGTGGGCCATCTTTGATCTTGCGAAATTTGACTGAACTTGGCTCTAGGAGAATATTTCACTCCCAGGTTCGCAGCGGACACCGCGTACAGGCGTTCAGACTTGCCCTCCCTCTGACAAATTACAATGTTTATATAATGATGTTCAAGTCGGGGCTCGGGTGCAGGATAAGGAATAAATCAATGAACTAGTCAGTTTTCCTGATTTGGTGCCATGGGGTCAATGCAGTTTTTTATCGGAAGATATGTACTCAAGGTAGGACGACTCAATTTGATGTTTAGTGTGTGTTTTATTGCACTACTTAATGTTAGAAATTGTTAAGGATTTCTAGGAGGAAATATCTCGAAGAACAAGTGTACAATTTCGGACAAGAATTTATTGATAGTTGCATGTGATATCGAACTCTCTTCTTAATATGAATTAATAATATATAATACTCCGTTAACTTAGTTTAACATATACAAATAAGCCAATCCTTAAATTCAGATTCCCGAGGCTTTAGTGATCCAGAACTCTCAGTGATCTAGCTACAACCAGTCACTCAATTACCGCATGGTATCATTTCCTAGCCACTGCATTTCAGATACTACTGAACCTCGTTTCTTTTAGCTGAGCTTAATCGTATGCAATAGAAACAAGTAAATTGATCTTGATGATCAAACTAGAAATCTAAACCTTCATACATACGAAGTCTAGATTTCCAACACTTAAGTCTATGACTATCTTGCCCATTGAGCTTCTCTCTGACCCAGGCCACACCTTGTACAGTGCTCCTATCCTCTTTTGTTACTTGAAAGATCATTAATATATTCCCTTTGATGAATGGCCATTCAGCTCGATGTTAACCCGTGGAATTCGGCCGCCTTCCACGGAACCTTCTACCCAAAAAATGGTAGCAATGGAAACTGCGTGCGCGGGAAAAATTCTCAAAAAACTTGCAGCTCCAGCCAGACGAGGCCGACTTGTTCCAACCCACCATCTCCGTATCGGGTGCTGGGTACGCTCCGGAAACTCATCGGATGGCTTCTCCTTCATGATCAAGGGTTGGTGATGAGTAGGACTCCGACCCTACCATCTGATGTGATCGTGGTTCGCTTCATGATAATGGTGATAGGGAATTGTGTTGAGAGGTGAAGACGATACAGACGGCGTGAGCGATTGGGAATCCTCATCGAAGTGAGGACTCTGTTACTACTCAACCTCGGCTCTGCAGACTCTACAGTGAAAGCTGGAGGTCTGCAGACTCTACAGTGAAAGCTGGAGGTCTGCAGACTCTACAGTGAAAGCTGGAGGTCTGCAGGGGATACCAATGACAGTTGTTGAGAATAGTCCCCCTAGTCCTAACTGAGTCAATGACTATGGAAGACTCCTACAATCTATATGAGATACTAGCTACATTTTAAATTCCAATTGGATAGTTTTTAACTTTGCTTTCATAGACAGTGAGGGACAGGCCCTATGACTTGAATGACTAAATGACGTTGTAATATTGAATTGATCTTTCGCGGCAAAACGTTCTACTCTGAACTCTTCGAACTTGAAATAAAATGCAGACAAGAATGGATCGTAGTCCTTTGTACAGGCGTTTTGTTTGATGGCTAGTTACTAATTTAAGGTTATCACCCCTACGAACCTCCGGCTCTCACTGTAGAGTCTGCAGAGTCAAGATTGGATAACAAAGTCCTCACTTCGATGAGGATTCCTAATCGCTTTCGCCGTCTGTATCGTCTTCATCTCTCAACACAATTCCCTATCACCATTATCATGAAGCTAACCACGATCAGATCAGATTGTAGGGTCGGAATCCTACTAATTGCCCACCCTTGATCATGAAGGAGAAGCCATCCGATGAGTTTCTGGAGCGTACCCAGCACCCGATACGGAGATGGTGGATTGCATCAAGTCGGCCTCGACTATTGCAAAGAAGGGAGATAAAGATGAATATGCGCACCTCATATAGTCTCAGTGTCTAGGCCTCGTCTGGCTGGAGCTGCAAGTTTTTTGAGACTTTATCCCGCGCACGAAGTTTCTATTACTACCATTTTTTGGGTAGAAGGTTCCGTGGAAGGCGGCCGAATTCCACGGGTTAACATCGAGCTGAATGGCCATTCATCAAAGGAAATATATCAATGATCTTTCAGGGAAACATGAGAGGCAAGGAGCACTGTACAAGGTGTGGCCTGGGTCAGAGAGGAGCCCAATGGGCTAGATAGTCTAAGATTCAATTACGAAAAATAAAAACAAATATTCAACCTCAATTTTTTGAAATTCGAATATGCGAATATCCCTATTTTCCCCCTCTCCCTCACTTTCGCGCTCGTCGCATTCATCAGAAAATTGTGATCTCAGTTACAAGCCCCCGACCTTCGGAATGGCACTGGGGCAACCCAAAAAATCGCGTGAGGATCGTGTTATCGACGCCCTCGGAAGAGCGCACAAGAAAGTGACCAAACGTATGATTGACTAGAATTCGAAAGTAAAAAATATCGACTATGGAAAAATGGATATAGAGCTTATCGAGAGTGTCAATGCCTTCGAAGAAAATAACATCTCTAGCAATCCAGACATCGAAATTTCCGATAGAACAATCGACCTTTATATCCAAGAGGGCCTCAGTAGCTCTAGGTGGAACGTAGGAGGGCAAGACTGAACACCTGTACGCGGTGTCCCCTACGAACCTGGGAGTGAAATATTCTCCCAGGGCCAAGTTCAGTCAAACTTCGCAATACCGAACAAGTTGGCCCACGAGGCAATGATTCAAATTACTCCAACATATCAATCTTTCACTCCCAACGAGATCGGTTCCTACCTAAACCTCATCAAGTTTACAAGTACGACCTAGTACATCCTTGTTCCAATGATCACACCTCTCATCGAATTTCTCTGGCCTCAGCCGGTCACCAAATACACGCCCACGCCAATATTTATACCCGACGGAGGACACAAAGCGTGGAGCACAAATCTGGGAGATTGCTCTTTGGGATGGACGTGAGAGGGATCAGGACAAGTTAATAGGATGATGCAGAGGATTGGATACAGTCTCGACGGACGTGGAATTTTGAGTTTTGGAAAGGAGTTGTACAAATTGAGCTTTGTGCGTGCCAAGTCTTCGGCTGCGAGAGTGCAGGCGACACTATAAAAACCGCCATGGTTGGATGGTGCGGTGGTACATCGTCTTGGCCGGTCTGCCAAGTAGAGTCTGGATAGCTTGGACACATATCCCACTTGAGACAGTAGATCGCTGGGTCAAATCCAGCAAAACACAACCACATTTCTCGCGGCGCTGGTATGCACGGATGATGAAGGCATGCTTGGATAACCAAAGGTTTTGAAATTCCCTTTGGTGGGTACTAACGGAGGAGGGTCGACTATTTGTGTAAGCGAACATACCTCATAGTTGTATTTGCAAATGAAATCCAGAGTATGAGTGTCTCTAACGTCAAAAGAGTCATCCCACATGTATACATAGCACCGGTCATGTGTCATAGCTAGATAGCTGAATTCACATTAAATGACTCAAAAAAAAAAAAGGTGGAACGTAGAAGACTCGGAAGACAGCCAAGTCACAGTCATCCCCGCCAGCACAACTAGAAAAATTGCTGTCCCTGCTCTTAGGCGGGCAGCGATCGCACAAACAAGTATGGAAAAAGGCGCCGCATGTCCCACTAATCCCCCTGAGGGTACATCAGGGGTTACAGGGGAGAGTACCGCTTCTCGTAGCGAAAATAACCCCAAGCTGACAAAAGAATATCCCTCCGAACTTAGGGCCTTTATCGAAGCCGAAGAACGCCGGACTGCTAAAGCAGCAGAAAATGTAAAGATCTGCACTGCTGCAAT